GCATAAGCAAGCACAGCTTGTTGGTGTGCAAGTCTTTTGGTTTTGTTATAAGCTATGTCTGTTGGCCAGTTTGTTGTTATCTGATATCCCATGTCTTTTGTACTATTTACCATACATAGAAGTGGGTCATAAAAGATACGCCAGATTAAGGGTAAGATTACTTCTCCTTGGTCGAGTCCATCTTCAGCTTCAAATTCGTTCATTAGCTTGAAGCTTGTAATCACCTTGATTCTTCTTTTTTTATACAAGCTTAATATAAAATTGATTATATTTTCTGGAAGTTTAATTTTTTTTAAAGCTTTCTCTAGCATTTCTAAGCCTACAAAGTCGAATGCTTTCCACATGTCTTGGAATAAAATCCATAGCTCATTGTTTTTTTGTCTTGCATCCTCAAGTATATTGTTCATTATATGAATTGGGCTCATTATGCTATCACCTGAGAGCTCTGCATAATTAGGACCTTCCAAGACATTATAGTCTACCATAATCTTGTCTAGTCTGTGTGTTAGAACCCTCACTACTGTTTTGCGAAAAGTTTCAATTAAAACAATTAGATGAGTATTAGACAAGTTATAATTTCAGTCCTCTCCTTTAGGAATTGGGTAGAGTTGGCTGAGCTTCCATTTGAATAGGATTTCTCCTTCTCTTATACACAGGTTAGCAAGGTGTCTGAATATTTTTTTTGCTATTGTACCTGCTTTTTTTATCAGTGGATAGCTTATACCGGATGGGCCTGGTGCAGACTTAGGCTTTGTCTTTTTAAGTGCCTTTAGCTATTCCTCTTCAGAGATCTTGTCTTCTAGGCTATTATATATTTTGCCATCTATCTTTTCCAGTAGATTATATACTTTTTTCCATCTGGTTGGCATGTTTAAGGTGCAAGTATTTCTTTTGCAGAATTGCTTTTTGAAATGGTTTTTCATTTCTTCTTGTACTTCTTCTTTCTGGTTTATTAGTACTATTTCTGTGTTGTCCTCTTTAATGATTCTGTCTATAACTACTCATTTTGAAGATCTTTCAAGTAGGCTACTTATCATGTGTTTAAGTTTTTCTTGTATTGCTTCGCAGCGATGTTCAACTGCCATATTGATTTCTTCGAGATCCTCTTTCTTTCTTGCTTGCTGAGCTTTTAAATATATGATTTTCCACTATACCTTTAGCTCTTCGTATCTTTTTTTAGTCCACTTAGTTTCAGAGAGCTCTTCTATTTCTGTTTCGTACAGACTATTTATTCTTGCTATTTTTGCATTCATTAAATGCTTATCTGTGCTATCGATATTCTGCTCTATTTGCGAGGAGCATTGTTGATATATACTTAAATTATCTTTAGGTCTTTTTTAATATTTTTGCTCTTTTTCTTTTTTTCAGGAACAGGTTTTCTTACTGTGGACTTTTTTCCTGAGAAGGTTGATCTTGTACACTTGATTATACTTGTTGCGATTATGTCCTATAAGCTATCCTTGTTTAATGTCTCTAAATAAGCTAGATCATGTTCATCTTTTATAATGTTCAGCTTCTTCTTGAGT